GTCTAATTTCGTGTAGATTTGACAGTTTGGGAAATTTAGAGATTACTTCTACCTCTTTTGAGCTGGGTTTAGTACCATTCTTATTAATAATGAATTCTAAAATTTCTTCTTCATGTTTCACAAACTCGCATTTAGGTCATTTTAAAGTCAAATTAGCTTTTCATAAAGCATCAAATACCTTGATTAACTTTTTGATCATTTCTTCCAAAGTTTTAGCATGTACAAAGATGTCATCTAGATAGCATAATGCATCCTTATTGCATAAAAACGGCCTAATACAAGGTACATTAAGCACTGAAATTCTGCTGGGGCATTTGTTAAACCAAATATCATTTGCTCAAATTGACCTGAGTCATCAGGTGTGATAAAAGCAGTTTTCAATTTCGCTTCTTCTGTCAACTAGATTTGCAGGTACCCATGGGCCAGGTCTAAAGTACTAAACATGCTACAATCATGTAGCTGCGTAGCGGCGCGCAATGAACAGGAAGTTGATCTGTCAGCACTATCCTTATCTTCAGGACAGATGTTTTTATTTTATTCAGCTTAATTCCTTACTAAATGTAGTATTTCATATCGATGTACTCCGCCTTTGATATGATTTAAATCAAATTTCTCCTCATTATAAATATCACGAATACACATCAAATAGTTTTCTGGTTGCAATTTTCTAATTTCGACTATGCGTAATGTATGCTTTACGCATGCGCGCATTGTAAGAAATGTTTAATAAAGTAAACAAATAAATATTAAGCTTTTTTTTACATAAATTTTGATACCCTTTAGATCATAATTGCACTTTATTTCATAAATTAAGGTTTCATATTTTTTATTTTATAATTTCTGCATGCCATCTTACCAGATTTAAACTGATGATCTATAATCCGGAAAAACCGATAATCCGAAATCGCCGAAGTCCCAACGAGGCTGGATTAAAGACTTTTGACTGTATACTGTGTTCCTTTTCCATTAATCAACTATTTCTTTAATTGCCTTCCTTTCAGTCGCATTTGTTTAATGTGGTTTCATTTGTGGGTTTTGATCTCTCGATTTCCTTAACATCCATTTTTGTTAACGTTGTACATCCTAACTCTGATATGTTTAATGCAAAGCAATCTCTGAACTTTAACAAATTAATTAGATCTTGTTGTTGCTGTTTCATTAAACTTGTGAAACTCATTAAATTTAATTTTCTCTAAAGTAATAAGTTTTTGGTCTACATTTGCAGCATAAACATTCAAAATTTTTAATGAATGATTACCAGTAAGTGAATTAACATCACTCAAATTTAATTCTGAATTTACTTCATTTACTATCTCTGTTTTTGTGATGTTTTGGTTTTCCTTAAATGTTATTTCCTTATTTCCAATACTGACAGTTGGTATAATAGTTTTACCTTCCTTTATTTCCAGTAAGGACTTAAAATTTCCCTCATTTTCCTGAATCATAACTAATCCATTATTGATTTGCTCAGTTTTTACCTTTACAAATTTTATGCTATTACTTATTATTTTGTTTATTTTTTATTCTTTTCAATCTTTCATCTTCTTAAGTCTTCAATAATCCTTTCAAAAACTTGTTCCTCATAATTTTTACTATTAGTGATGATGTTTTTAACTGTAATCACAATGGCGTCTGGTGGGACCATTTCTCCAATTTCCGTCGCAAGCTCAATTAGATCGCTTTTGTGTCCCTTGCCCAGAAAACACATCTTTAAGTTACCTTTTCATATATATTTAATACTTACTATTAATTAATTTAGTAGTTTTTAAAGATATGTTTTTAAAAGCTTTCATGAATATGTTTAATGGTTCATTGATAACTTTAAAATGGGGTTAAAAAATTATCTTTTTTTGTTTTTGCATCAGACCCTCAATGGCGTTCAGTTATAGTAGATTGACATCAATAATCCCACTTCTGAAATTGTTGGCCTTAGGATTTTTCTTTTACAATCCACTATGTGCGTCTTTTTGTTTTTGCATTATTTATCAGGACAGAAATTCACAACCAACAACATAATACTTAATTCTACAGATTTTTAAAAAGCACACAAGTAGTTAACATCGTCTTTTGCCATGGTTACATTTTTATATCTCTCATTTTGATTGTTACAAATGCTTTAAATATTAATGATGCCATTTGGCGGTAGACTGTGGAAATTGCTAACAATTCTAAAAAACTGATATCTTATTACAATTATTACTATATAAAAACTATCATCGTACTCTGGTTTTATTTCTTATTTTGCAGTGAATGGCATGATTCAGCTGTAGCTTAGTAAATTAACATCAATTACTTTAAAAAGGAAGATGCTTTCTCTAATTCCAGATGGTGATTTTGAGATCTTATTTTAAACCACAACTGTGATCACAGTTTGTATTAATCCATCAACTGTAATAATTAAGAAATGGGTTTGCTAAAATAATTATCCTTAAAAAAAAGAGAGAGAGAGAGAGAGAGAGAACTTGATATGCATTTAATCAGTATTCAGTAGTACAGTCAAAAGTCGTTAATCCGGACTCGTCGGGACTTCGGCGATTCCAGATTATCGATTTTTCCGGGATTATAGATCATCAGTTTAAATCTGGTAAGATGGCATGCAGAAATAACAAAATTAAAAATATGAAACCGTAATTTATGAAATAAAGAACAATTATGATCTAAAGGGTACCAAAATTTACAAAAAGAAAAAGCTTAATATTTATTTGTTTATTAAACATTTCTTTCAATGTAAGTTGTTTAAGTTGCTTCGTTTCATGTGATAATATTTTCTCTTTAATTCTATTAAACAGACATAATTTCTTGTTTAGTTACAAAGTTCCGCTGTTCAAAGTCCTATAATTGCTGTGTCGAGAATACCGACTAATTTGTCAATCGAAATGTTTTCCTTTTCAATAACCTCTCTCACTTTCTTCACTATCGGAAGCGAATTATAATGACGAGGAACTTGATTTAAATCATATCAAAGACGGAGCACATAGAGATGGAATACTACATTTAGTAAGGAATTATAAGCCAAATAAAATAAAAACATCTGCGCTGAAGATAAGGATTGTGCTGACAGATCAACTTCCAATTCATTGTGCACCGCGCCCTTTCCCCTCCCCCCCTTGCCGCAGAGCACCGTGAAATCGATAAACAAATTTTGGATTTCAAAACATACTTTCGCTTTGTAGATCCTTTATATATTAGTAAATATATATCGGAAATTCTATTTGACATAATCGAAAGTTCAAGCTTACTTTTATAAAATTGCTCTAACAGTCTGCAAAAAATAATAAGCCAGATCCAATCGAAGATTAAGGAACAGCGCAATCTGCAACATTAACTGAATTAGATAATTTTAGCTTAGCTTATACCGTCCATTATACATTAAACGCGCATGCGTCAACGTATTATGTGCTTGCACACACGCATATTTACAGCCGTAAAAATCTTACGCGACGCATGCGCAGAAAGTTTGTGGCTTTGAGGTCCGGATTATAGATCATTCCGGATTATGGGTGTCCGAATTAACGACTTTTGACTGTATTAATATTCTTTATTTATTCCTGAGCAAGTAGTAATTGCACACTATAATAATGTAAGTAATCAGTGTTAGGAAGTAAATATGTTATTTACCGACTTTTAAGAAACCTGTTGCATTGAATGATATTTACAGTGTCTTAATTTTGGCAGATCAGAATTTAAGAGATCCAGAAACTTATTTTTTTTTTTTTTAGATGAGACAGCAGTGTGACATATCTTGTAAGAAAGGGAAAAGATGTTTCACTGAAGTTGCAGTCTTAAATTTAAATGATGTTTCACCTTGTCATCTGCATTGGGGTTGTCTTTTGTAGTTATTAACTTCTTTCATTGTTTCTCCTACTCCCAAAATCTGAATTGCACCAGGCAAGTACTTGTAGCCGTGCCCAATGAAAAGTTCTAACTCTTTGTCATTGAGCATTTATAAGTAATGATTGACAGCAGGCTCCTTCTATTGAATTTAAACCACAAATGAAATATTCATTTGTTGCAGTTCTTACACCCAGTTGGGTAGAGATCCAAGTACCCAGTGGGTAGATTCCATTGACTTTTCAGTTTTAAAATCTAAGACAAGGTGTAATAATATTCTACAAAGTAAGAAAGAAGTCATTTATCTTATTGCATTCCTTCCTTATGTTTTCATAAAATGAGTACAATTTATTTGCAATACATGTTGCGTGGTTGGGCTATATGATCTTCCACTGTTTGAAAGTTGTACCATGCTTGATCATCCGGCAAAAGCTAAATATTTTCATACTGAATGCCATATGTCTATAGCTTCATGCAAGAATTGTTGAGTAACTAATTGTATGACTGTACAGATTTTTGTCTTGCAGAGTTTTTATATCTCAAATAATATGTACATATTTATCTGACAATGGAAGATGGCGGTGTAATTCAAGATGTAGTACAGATGTAGTTAGCTAATGGTAATTTCATCCAACTTAAAACTTGCTTTAGGTTTGCTGACTCTTTCACTACCTGAAAAGCATTTTCGTTATGTAGTAACTGGATGATGTTTCATAATGTTGTATGTAATAATTTCTAAAAGTGTTCTCATTTGGAGCTGAACTTTTTGCATGCACTTCTCAAGGAACATAGAGCAAAAAGTCATGATTTGATATGGATAAAAAAAAGTTCTATAAATTTTGGTGAGAAAATAAACTGTAGATTTTCTTTCATGAGGTTTTCTATATTATCTTGGAACTGTTGAGGCTGTAATGATGGTAGTGTCAGAAAACAATTTTGAAATATGTGCCAGATAATAAAAGAAAGGGATAGGAGGTATATGGAAAGAGAGGGATAGAGTTTATTAATTTTTTTTTGATATCCTGACATGCATATCTAAAATCACCCTTAAAAAAACAGCTCCGTATTTTTTTAAGGTTTTGCACCTTAAAATCATTCTGTAATAATTCCAACTAAATTTTCTGAATTATTTCAAGTTTGTGTAAAAATGTTTTAATTTTTATTCTCAGGTGTTAAAGTTGTACCAGGTACTGACACACCTGTCACAGATCTTAAAGCTGCTACTGATTTTGTGAAAGATCATGGCCTTCCTATTATTTTAAAAGCAGCTTATGGAGGTGGAGGACGTGGAATGCGTGTTGTAAAAAAAATCGAGGTAATTTTGAAATTGTAACATTTAAGTGGAGTAGCTCATAAATTTAACTCTGTGTAATCAAATGCAACTACTGCATTCTTACTAAGTGAATTAAAGTATGAATTTTTGAACATATTTTTTAAAAAGTTTAAACATTAACTGTTATTAAGCAAATATTTTATCCCTTTGAAAAAGCCAGAAAGAGCTGTTAGTTTCAAAACATGATTTTGCATCGATCTATTTTAAATGTCATGCATCTTAAAGCTTAAACATTAACTGTTATTGAGGGAATATTTTATTCCTTTGAAAGAGTTTTTACCAAAAAGAGCTGTTAGTTTCAAAACATGATTTTGCATCAATCCATTTTAAATGCCATGCACTGTAATTGTTATGTTTCACTTTTCATTTGAGTCTGCTGCCGTTCGGTAAAATGTAAGATACTTATCTTTCAAATTTAATTTATCTAAGTTAATTTATCTAGTTGATTGACAAACTAAGCTTTTCAAAAGCAATAGATGCTGTGCTTATGAATATTATATTTTCCTCTTTTTAATTTGATTGATTTAAATAAAAATACATTTAATTCATGTAAAGCCAATTAAAAACAATTAGTATTTTGACAGAATTATGTTAGCTATAGATACAGATAATAAATAAGACTTGCAAAATTTCAAATTAAGATGATATATGTGATTGAAATTGTACAATATACTTGAAAATTAATTAATTAATCAAGAGGTAATATTTAAATCAGAATTAAATCATGGAAATAAAAATTATTGAAATTTCCTTGGTCTTTTTCAAGGAACAGCCAAAGAATTTTCAACAGAGCCATCTTTCTAAAACATCTAGATGACTTTTAAAGCTGGATGCTTTTAAAAAATTATAGAAAATGTCAGTAAAGAAAATTTAATTAAAATTAATGTAATTAAAGTGTTTTAAAATGCAATAAAATTCCTTAATTTCTGCTGTATAATGCGCACTAGTGTATAATGTGCATCTGTAATTTCAAGCTACATTTTAAAATTTATAGGTATATTCACCGTTTAACATGCACCCAATTCTTCACAATGAAACTTAAAATATACATATGTAATGCTCTTATCTTTTGACATCACTTAATCAAAGAGTTGTCCTGCCTTTCGAACAATGGTATACCAAATTGACAGGTGATAAGCAGAACAATATGTGTGTGGGTTAAATTCTTGAGGGAGCAAACATTTCTGCAATGAGGGTGGATTGTGTTCAAAGCAGATGTCCAAAAGAATGCTATTGTAGATTTTCGAGAAAAGGAGGATGTAATTCGGAGTAAGAATGCACTTCCATCTTGAATGTATTCATGGAATTAGGAGATGTTTTCTCTTTCTGTAGTCAGTTGAAGCTGTGATTTTGAAGTGAAAATTGAAGCCTTTTGCATTAGTTGAAATACAGTTGATCTAATGTTCCTTTTAATAGTAAGTATGGCTGCTATGTAAAGAAACAAAAAGAGTGCTGGTTTCAAATGCAAAGCAGTTTGTTTGGTATTCGTGAAAGCTCCATATATGAGTGGCGGAAAAATGAAATCACAGTAATTAATATGCCAAAGAATAAATTTCGCTTTGCATAAAGTAGTAACAAAATGGTCTTTCCTCGAAGAAAGTGTTACGAAGTGGGTTTTAAAAAGTGCCAGAATGGATTAATTATAAATAGAAGCAGTGTATGTTTATTTGTGTTAAAGTGGACCAAAAAGAAAGCAAATAAAAGTGAAAACTCTAAAGCAACTTTGAGTTGGTATAGTAGATTTATGGTATGGAATAATTTAGTTCTAGGAGAAAAAACAAAGGTTTCACAAAGACTTCTGAAAGAATTGATTAATAAAATGATTAGTTTCCAGAAGTATGTTATTGACTTATCGGCAAAAGCATAAAAAAATTATTTACCACATGTTTGGAATATGAATGAAACTCCAGTAATGTTTGATATGGTAGGGAAAAAGTGATGTGAAAGAAAAAAAACGGTTCACATAAAAACAACAGATTACGAAAGATCTCACTTCATTGTAGTGCTTTCCTGCTTAGCATATATTTCAAAACTGCATGTTCATGAGAAAGGACGGATGAACAAAAATGGTGTGAAAATGTGCATAAGAAATGCTTGGCAAAAGCGTCCTTTTGTCTTAACTCTTTGAAATCCAGACCCTTCGCTAACCTGTATCCTCAAAATACCAGACCACCCGAAATAGTTTTTCAGTTTCACAGCAATTTCCTCCCCTCCCCGTCCATTAAACGCAGAAAATAGGTGTGAAGATTTCCAATGACATTCTTTGTACTTTCTAACAAAGATTCCATTTGCCTTTGACCCCGTTCTTTATAAAACTATTCTGAAGGTCAGACCAACAAACCTTTCCGGCTTTGTTATGATCATGACAAATTTTGTTTATTTCCATTATTTTATAGGAAGGAATAAATTGGTTAAAAATAAATATAATCCTTAAATTTTTAAACTGCTCTTTTATTGCTTTCTAAAGCTTAAAAATACACTGTATCACAAAAGAATCAACAACGAAATGTCATGATCAACTGAAAGATAAGAAACCTCTTAGGGTAAGCTGTCTGTAGTAAACTGATACAATGCATTTGGGGGAAACTGCACCTGCTACTGCATACTTTAGGGAGGAGGGAAGAAAACAAGATAACAATCTTGGCCGTTTTCGGCCAGTTCTGGTTGTTTCAATGTAGGGCTGTGTGGGGTGGATTGGATGGGAAGGAGTTAAAGAATACAGACCGAATCTGGAACATATCCAGATCTTATCTAACAGATAATACGAAGTTATTGAAAGAGGATAATACAGGCATGACAGTTATTCCAGGCAGATTAATGCCATTACTTCAGCCTGTAGATGTGTGTATCAATAAACCATTCAAAGAGAATTTAAAGTAACAGTAGAATAGAATATGTGGATGTTAAAAGATAGAAAAACATTTACAAAAGGAGGCCAAATGCATATTGCCAGTTTAGAAATAGTGTGTGAATGTATAATAAAAGCATGGAATGATATTAAACCCAACATAATTCAAAAGTCATTTAAAAAGGGCAGTATATCTAATAATCTAGATGGAACGGAAGATAATTATCTATTTACGGATAAGAGTAACAGTGATTGTTAAGATGAAACAGAATTTGATGATGAGCTTGAAGATATAATAGAAGACGAATATGATGAACTTTTCATGTTATCCAATAATGAAAATTTTTAAGTTCATTTTAAGTAAGGTATGTCATTTCTTTTAAATAAATAACATTTAAGTACATAAAGGAATCTCATTTTTTTAAGTTCATATTATATGCCTGAATATGTGGCTTTTTTTTTTTTTTTTTTACTTTTTAATTTAATAATAAGATATAACCTGCTCCAAAAAATTAAAAAGGAGAATTCTTGAATAAGAAATAGAAAAACCAAAGGCTAGATCAGAATTTTTTTTAATGGTCAGGCGCTTTATTTAATAGCCATTTGCCTTGCAACACTACAAAGGCTGGAAATGGTGGCCATTTCATTATGGAAGCATCTAATAAGTGGCCACCATTGCTTCCTATGAAGTTATAGACAGTTACAACTATATCTTCTCTGGGATTTGAACGCAAGCCCATCACAGTTTTTTTTTTTTCCACCTCCAATGGTGGGTACTTGCGTATAATGACATTGGCCACGCTTAAGGCAGAAGTGGTGGACATTTTATTGTGGAGACACCTAAAAAAATGGCAGTCAGGGTCACTAACTACTATACCGACTGGGCGGCTCAGTTAGATCAGAAGTAAGCAGTTTGAAGAAATTGTAAGCAATTTGAATAATCTTTGGGCAAATAAATTGAAAGCAGTGTATGTCTGTTTTTACGAAAGGTATTGAATCAAAACTAAGAATTATGTAAATATTCAGTGTTGAATAGCAGCAAACACGTGGTGCGTGTTTGTGAAGCTGTTATTGTGGAGGGGATATAAGTGTAATTGAGATTTCATTGATTCTTGTGCTCGTACTCCTTCATGACATTCAACATGTTTCTGGCAAGACTTGGATAAATTTTATAAGGTATCTGGTAAAATGAGTAGCCATAAATATATGAATGTCATAATAAAATGGAGAATTCTTGGTAGATTGGAGGCAGGCCAATCATAGGGCAGCACACAAGAGAGTGAGTTTAACATGGTACAGACAACATGCACCTTGAACCAGACTAAAGTGGACCACTGAGCTTTTTACAAACAAGTCAAGTTTCAGAAAGGACACTGATTCTTGGCATATCTGTATCTGGAAAGAACCTGGAACATGATACCATCTCTTCTTCACCAGAGAAAAGGATCACTAAGGTGGTGGATATATAATGGATTGGCTAGGCATTATGTTGGATAGCATACACACCTGTATGTGTTTGACAGAGGCTTCCCGACTCGTATGAGGTATAGAGAGGAATTATTGATATACCTCATACGAGTCGTATGAAGTATAAAGAAGAATCTTAGATCTGTGTTGGCCATTTCAGGGGTAAAGTTGGCCCTGGATTCCTATTAATTTATGACAGCATTCATCACATAGGGCTCAGCTGGCCAACGATTATGGGGAAAGTGAGGATATTGGTCGCTTGGATTGGACAGAGAAATCTTCTGACCGTAACCATATACAGCATGTATGGGACACTCTTGGGAGGCCAATTTCATCTCGCCATTGCCTCCCTGAGAACTGTCCCAGAGTTGAAAACTGCCATATCACAGAAGAGGGATCGACTACCTTGGGGTCTCCTCAGTGGCTTCTTTCCTATCCAATATATTGTTACATTGTGTGTAGCTGTCTGCTGTGAGAGGGGACCATATCCCGTATTAGACTCATTTTCAATTTGAATATCACAACATGGATTTTTGGTATCTCTGCATCATGAGCTTTACTGATAATCATGCATGCATAAAATGACTGTTGAATAGTACATCACTTTCTCTGTTATAAATGCGTATTCATTAAAATCTGTCCATTAGTTTTTCAGAAATTCAGCCTAATGTGCAAGTTCTCTTAATTTTGCACATGAGTGTGCATATTTATAGAAAACTACGACTCTTAGCCAAAGGCTGTTGACGCATCTTCTTCTCAGTATATTAGATTTTTATATTTTAATTAAAAAAATATTTTCTAGTAAATCTTTTGTAAATATAAAGTAGTAACATTTTTTGATTCATAAACTGATTTAACTAATATTGTGATTACTGTTTAACACGTTAATGCCATCTTGACGCACTGGTGGGTCATACTTGTCTGTTCTGTGTCCGGCATGATTCAACAATGGGTCACGCTTGTATATAAAAAAATACGTAGTACAAAATTTTATTTTAATTAATTCGACAGTATACATTAACATTTCGACCTTATAATCAAACATTCAATACAAAACAAGTAACTTAAAATGTAACTTATAAATTGAATATAGTTATTAATTTTTTCTATGAGGAAGAATATTTTCTTAACAATTTCTGGTAATGTACTGCAGTTTAACACGTTGAGAGCGGCGCGGATATTCATTGTTCTTTTCATGTGGCAGCGCATGAAAAGAACAATGACTATCTTTGCCGCCATCGGCATGTTAAGCTAAATTTTTCATATTGTTGCTTACGTGCGGGTTCGTAATAGGTGAATGCACAAGTTCGATAAAATGTTAATAAAATTTATTCTTGTTACAAGAAATGTAATAAAACACTAGGTTTCTCCTCTGAGATATTCATACAATATCACACAAAATCACACAGTAGTTATATTTTAAACTACTAAAACGGTAAATAGCACACAATCCAAAGTAAAAAGAAAGCTAATCCGATCTCGCTGTGAATTCGCTACAATTAACAACAACAGTTATGAACAGCTGAACTGAGATGTTTCTCGCCGGCTTTTAAAGCTTTTTAATCAAGCACAAGAATGTTCTGGTAATTTCCATTTTCTCGAGGTTTCTGGAAAGCAAAAGAGTACAATTATGATCACAGCCAATGTAATAGTCAATTGCATTTATTCCCTTTAAATACAAATTCTGAGATATGTATTTATTAAATGTGCTTGCTCCTCTATTTTTACTTTTTGGTTGTAGCTTTCTCTTAAAACTCATCATGCGCTGCATTGCACAGAAAATAAAAGAATTTTAACTGCAATTCTTCTAAAAATAGCTAACTAAATACAAAATCCATAACAATGTTATATATTATTTTATTCTTTATTTCCCCCCCCCTCTGATAAACCTTCTCTGCCATGAAGAGCAATTTAAATAGTTAAAAAAAATCAAGTCACATACTATAAATAACAGTATTCTACAAGTAAAAGTAAATTTTCATGTAATATTTTAAATCTTGATTTGATTTTATACCATAAGAAATAAAGGAAATTTTTATTATATTGATGATTCAAGTTTTTTTTTTTTTTTTTTTTTTTTTTTTTTTTTTTTTTAAGTAATGATTAATGTTTGAACATAAACCCTAGGAAATAACTATAATTATACTATGTTGATTATTCAAACCTTTTTAACCCATGTTTAAATACTAATTTATATTTTAAGTGTTAATAAATGTATCTTCTCATATAACCATGAAAAAATATTAAATTTTTTAAACTTTTCATTTATATTATTATCTTCTCTTTTACAGGAATTTGAAGAACTTTTTAAACGGGCAGTCTCTGAAGCAACTTCTGCATTCGGGAATGGTGCTATCTTTATAGAGAAATTTATAGAGAAACCACGCCACATTGAAGTTCAAATTTTAGGCAAGACTATATACTTCATTTAATGATCAAAGTATTCAAAATCTGATGATAATATTTATGACATGTGTTTTGCCCACTTTTCATGGTGCTGGCTTTTGCAGGAACATGTAGGAAGTTAGGCTTAATGAAAGACTACATTTTATGTAAAAAAGCAATTTCAGTTTTAAAGAAAATTTTAAGGAAAATAGTTTTTTTTTTATGCTGTTAGTAAAATTAAGTATTATTCTGATATACAGAGTGTTCAATTTAAAAATGGATATTTCCTAGAAATGACAAGTGTACGTATTTATGGGACATATTTTTTCTACAGTATATGTTAAAAAAGATATCTCAGTGCATTTATATAGATATTTCTTTGTTCCTAGCAGTTTTGTGAAACTTTTCTTATTTGTATTGGGGTGACAAAAGGAATCTTTTTATACTTTATTTATGAGTACAGTTTATTTTAAGTGTCCGTACAAAAATTTAAACTAGTAAGAACTGAAGATTTCAAGTCTTAGTTTTCAGGTATAATTCTCTAGCCAAAAAGCTTCAGCATTTTCATTGTAGAATCTGCTGCATGACATTTTGCAGTATCTTGCTATATCATGGAGTGTTATGTAATAATTCTTGTCTTGGTGTTTTTTTTTCCCCCCTAACTGTAGATCCCTTGATAGGAAATTGTTTTGCAGAATATGGGCTTTAGTCCAAGTTAAGAGGTAAAAAATAGAACTCTTTCACTTTCCGAGTGTGTTCTAGTGATAGTGAAATTGTTTCTCTTTGACGAATGAGATCTAGGCCACTGGGTGGTCTGCAAGAATCATTTTTGATGGAGACTCTTACGGCGGGGATGTGTATGTAAAATAATACTTGAATGAAAATAGTGCCAGTCTTTGTTATGCATTGCTTGATCTGTGATGCAAACAGAATATGTAGACAAAAGTATTTTTCATTGTAGGAGACATTTTGTCGGGGCTTGTAGTTTTTGTTTCCCAGGAAGGAGAAAGTTCCCTGAGGTTTTCACAGGCTGTTAATAAAGAAGCATGTGTGGCGCCTACTCAAATTTTTTCGGCGTTATTATTGGCTACCAGAGGTCGTGACAGACTCTGATTCATCAATTAATTTGAAATGAGGCGTGGCTGCGTCAGTAGTTGTACAATTATTAATTGGGCGAGCCGTTAAAATAGGGAGACCTGGTTGAAAGGAGAGACTGCCATTTTTTTTCATGTGAGTGATGTTTAGCTTTATAGTGTTGCATAATTTTAAAGAAAAGGCTAGAGGGCGCTGTTGCTCGCATAGTTGAAAGAGAATAAAGTTTGTTCATGTTGAAGGCAGCGGCCTAAGAATATGCTCTGTATATAGCTAATTGAAATATTGTTAAAAATGTAAAAGTGTTAAAACTCACTGAACCACCATCATCTGATTTGGAGATGCACAAAATTATTAGATGGTGCATCGGCGTAAGGAATTAAGGCTTTGTGAAAGATTTTAGGTGTTCGATCCAAGTGTTTCGATTTCATTTAAATGGATATTTCATATTCAAGGGACAATGGAATTCCAAATAAAGGTAGGGAAATCTTAAATTAATTATTTAGTGATTATTTGTAGTACATTAGTAAGTATTTATTATTGCTGTCGTGGGTGTATTTAAATTAAATAAAATGGAAGAGAAGTTAGATAGATTGAAACGTAAACGTTCCACATTGAGATCGTCTGTTACTAGGTTAATTAAAGTGATTGAAGATAAATTAAAAATTGAAGGGGAGGAAAATTCGATTAAAGAATTACGAGGAATTGTTTGAATTATTAACCGAAAAGAAAAATAATTTGAGAACGCTTGATGATGAAATACAAGAGTTAATTGATGTTAACTTAATTGAAGAAGATTGTAGTATAAGCGAAGAATACAATGACAAATGTATAATTGCTTGTAGTCAAATTAAGCAGTTTCTAGGTGCGGTTACCGCAGTACCGCCAGCGAGGAATCCCCAAAGTTCTGATTTAAACCAGTCTAGTGGTAATGGAATTTTGCATGTAAGTTCCAGTTCTAGTGGGAGTAGTACGCTGAAATTACCAAAATTAATGATTGATAAATTTTGGGGAGACCCCAAACAATGGAATGAATTTTGGAATAGTTTCGAAAATTCGATACATAAAAACGAAACGCTTTCAAAAATACAAAAATTTGTATACTTAAAAACATTCTTAACGGGACAAGCTTCGAATGTTGTGTCAGGCTTTGAGTTAACAGAAAGTAATTATGATAGTTGTGTAGCATTACTAAAGGACAGATATGGTCGAAAAGACCTGGTCATTAATTCATTCATGAATAAAATTCTCAATTTAGAAGCCGTTTAAAATTCTGCTAATGTAAAGGCTTTAAGGCTTTACGTAAATTGTGTGACAAATTCGAAATTTCGATTCATAATTTGGAAGCTTTAGAGGTAACTTCTGGCTTATATGGAAATTTACTAATTCCAATATTATTAAAATTAATTCTGGATGATTTAGTTTTGGAATTTAATCGGCAAAGAGAATCGAAAGATAAAGTTGAAGTTTCGGAATTAACACAATTTATTAAAACGGAAATAGAATGCAGGGAAGTTTCAAATCTAGTATTAAGCGAAAGGAAAAATCCTGTGCCTCCGCGAGTCGATCAAAATATGAAACTATGAAAAAAAAATATGTAAAAAATACACCCACGGCTGCATTTCATACTGCAGTTAACCGAAAATGCATCTTTTGTGATAATTTGCACGAGTCATTTAAATGCGAAGTGAATGTTTCTGATAAATTAAAGAAACTAAGATCCGAAAACCGCTGCTTTTCTTGTTTTAAAAAATTTCCATACATCAAAAAAGGTGCAGAAATAAAACTAAATGTAATAAATGTGGCGGTATGTATCACAATGAATCGATTTGTACTAATAAATCCCTTGTAAACAAAAAGTTGGAACAAGGTTATTCCGAAAAATGAAACTGAATCTCTGACTTTGAATTCTGAGGAAAGAAATAAAGTTCAAAACTTAAAATTGATTGCTTCTGTTCCTCAAGGTGATAATAATAATGACTAATAATGACTGTAATGCCAGGGAAATATTATTACAAACTTGTACAGTTTATGCTTGTTCTAAGTATAAATCAAAATTAACTAGATTAATTCTTGATCAAGGCAGTCACAGATCCTTTATAACGAAAAAATTGGCCGACCATTTAAAACTTACTCCAATCCGTTATGAAAGACTTTCTGTTTATTCATTTGGTGCGACGAAGGCAATGAATCATTCCTATCCGGTCGTTGAAATCGAAATTCAGAATTGGAAACAAAATAATAAAAATAAAATTGAATGTTTGATCTCGGATGTTATTTCCTCGGCGTCCATCAGTGTGCCTAGTAAACAAATTGCAGACTTCATGGAGCATATGGGGTTGCAGATCGCCGATTGCGCAAGAAAAAATAACATAGATGTTGAGATATTAATTGGAGGGGATGAATTCTGGAATGTAGTTTATTCTGAAAGAATTAAAATATCTGAAGGGTTGTACGCAGTCAGTTCTGTGTTTGGTTGGGTTGCCGCAGGAATCGAGAAAAATAAAACAAACAAAAATTGTTCTGAAAATTTAGCGGTAATGACAAACACTGTTGTGTTTGAAAGATTTAAAAGGTTTTTGGGAATTAGAACATATGGGAATTAATGATTCTGATGATTATTCCGATATTGACTGCGAAATAGTAGACCAGTTTGAAAGAAATTTGCAGTTTAAAAACGGAAGAAGATATGAGGCAAATTTAATCTGGAAATACAGTCCGAATAATCTTAGGAAATAATTTTGAGGTAGCTAAGAAACGATTCGCAAACCTTCACAATAAACTAAGTAAAACTCCGGAGATTTTTCAGGAATATAAAAATATAATTGAGAACCAGATATTAGAAGGAATTGTGGAGGAATGTCCAAATAATGATACAAATTTGGGATATTTTATGCCGCACCGAGCAGTGATACGACCTAGTGAAACTACTAAGGTAAGAATTGTGTACGATGCTAGCTCAAGGACAGAGGACACGAATTCGTTAAATGACTGCCTTGAATCGGGACCTAATCTAAATCCAAATATACTAGACATTATGTTAAATTTTCGTAAGTTTAAGATAGCGTTTTGTGGAGACGTTGAAAAAAGCCTTTTTGATGATAGGAATTGCTGAAGGTGATAGAAAATTTCTAAAATTTCTTTGGTTTAATGAAAATAATGACTCCTTTAAGATTATGCAAATGTGTCGCGTAGCTTTCGGTTTGACTATATCTCCTTTCATTTTGGCCGCCACTATAAAATATCACATTCGAAAATATAAAGATAAAATGCCGGACAGTTTCCAAATGTTAAATTCTTCTGTCTATGTCGATGACCTATATTTTGGAGCAGGAACGGAACGGTTGAAGATGCATATATCGGTTATCTGTAGATGCGGTTAATATATTTAAGGATGCTGGGATGAATTTCAGAAAATTAAGAACTAATTCTAAAGCATTAAACGATTTATGGGTCTCAAATGGGATTAAGGAATCAGATAACAAATTAACTAGTGAATCGAATTTCTTAGGCATGATTTGGAATTCCATTGAGGACAATATAAAGTTAAATTTAAAAATTTTAATTGACTTTCCTACTGAAAACTTTCTGAAACAAAAGAAAGAAAAAACAAAACAACCGAATTCAGAATCGTTAGAGTTAAGTAAAAGTACTATTTTAACTGCATCTGTAATTAACAATGAATCCCCAATTCTGGGTATAAGAAAATTCAGTTCTTTAAGAAAATTTCTTTGAATTACTGCTTATGAATATTGAGATTTATTAGGAGGCTTCTGAAAAGGTCTACAGAGAATGGACCTTTAAATGCTTTTGAGATTGAAAGCAGCTGAACATTATTGGGTAAAAATTACGCAACGAGAATCGTATATCAAGCGGAAATAATTAAGTTATCAAATAAAAAAACAATTCTCGATTCTTCCATCTACTCCCTT